TATCAGATGCAGGTTTGTGTAAAACAGTTTTTAAAACCTCTTCAACGCCTGGCAAAATTAACTTCTCTCCGATAGTATGCGGTTTTCCGGATTTTGCTATAAGTAACGAGATATTGTAAGACGCCCGCAAACCATCATCATTTCTTTGTGACGTCGAAGCGAACATTCTGTCCAGTGTAGGTCTCTTCTGAAATTTATCTTTGAGTGTTTGAACGTTTGAAGTTTTATCAGGGTGGCTTCTTCTCAGATGATCTTGCAGTTTAGATGGTTTCATAGCGTCATTGCCCAAAACTTTGTTGCATAAAAGGCACATAGGCGATTGTTTGTCCGGCAATGATGGAATGAAGCCAAATTTCAAATAATCAACACTGTACTGTCTACATTTCTTTTTAGATTCAGACATGGCATCAGGTATCTGTGGGCAAAATTAAATTATTTAAATAAGACAGAAAATCCAGCAGCTGTATATTAAAAATATTTTTTGATTTTTCCGAAAACATTCCATAATTCGAACATCTTCTTGCAACAATTAGCTCGAATTACGGAGATTGCACTGTAATTATATTACCGATTGCTAAAACTTTCAAAAAGAAACTATTGAGGAGTACTCGTGTAATTTTGCATGATTTAATATTTACCTACTAATAACTAAAGTCATGATTGGCGTAATTTAAATAAATCTTTGCTAACTACGACGACAAAACTAAAATTTAATAAAAAATAATGTACTTACTTTCTCCAGCACTCTCAAACAAAATAACACTGACTCACTATAATTTGCGTGATATACTATCTGTTTATATTTTTTAAAATATTTTCTTAGCACTTTCCTTTTCAAGATTCAGGAAACGAATAAACGTATTTGTCCCACATTCGCATTTATAGAGTGACGAATTGAACAAGTCAGTGCAAGGTAGCGAAGCTCGAGACTGCGACTCTCAGGTTTTTACAAGTTCAAAATGTATTGCGACCACAAAGCGAATACCAACATCCTACAACTTACACAATTTTATAAACATATATATAATTTTTTACTTCATAGGTACTTTTATAAATAATGTATATGTTTTGATATTATAAGATAGTATGATGTAAGTAAATAGGTACTATCAGTGTATGTGTTGAGATCCACTATCGTGGACCCCCATATTCATTTCATGGACCCCCAAATTTTTTTTCGCTTAGACCCCTTGCAGGTTGTCATAGACCCCTAGGGGTCGATATAGACCACTTTGGAATCAATGATGTATACGGCCGCTGCCGCTCGTACTGCCACTCGTGCTGCTGGTCCTTTGACTTCAGTCCAAAAAACCGCGAACGAAGGGAGTATGCGGCAGCGGCATAAGCATCGGCAATGCGAGCTGGCATATTTTTAGGACCAGGACCCTTCAGGACCAGGACCAGGAACAATATATAGGTAAGAGGACTTGAAGCTCTTGATTTTTCGAAAACAAGAGTTTCAAGAGAACCTAGCAGACCCTCTATCGATGATCGCTTAACGACATGGATAGAATGTGCGAGGTAAAGGGAACCAACCCGGCGTTCCCAGAGACTGAAACACATGAGGAGACGTTGTAGCAGACCGCAGGTCACGCACAACACATGGCCTACCGAGACGCTGATGAGTCGGGCCACGCGGAGGTTAGGGTTTAGTGGGTATTAGGTGGTCTCCTCAAGACAACCTGGAGTCCCACACACGCCGTAGCTGGGGCTATGGTATGGTGCATAAACGCATTCCCCCCCCCCCACAAAAAAAAATGGCGTATTATTTACATACTCGCGCTGCCCACTTCCCTGCTCACTGTCGTGGAAGTTGGCTGCATGTATCCAGTATAACTGGTGGCACCGCCCTTGGTACAGCCGCAGGAGCCGCGCTTCACTGGACTGGTGGTTTTATCCTACGTGACGTTACAGTTGCTACAACATACGACTTGCTAGGTGGGAGGAGCTGTTTCAAAAACAATAACTGATCATTGAGCGTAGCTATGGTGGTATTTTGTTGCCGGATCAAAGCATTTTGTTGGTGAATGGTTATGGATTGTTTTTCAAAGTATTTTTGTTCATGATTATACTTACTAAGAGTGAGTTTTCCACGTTCTGGATTAAGCGTTGCGGTATTATCTGTCATTCACTGTAGCTGGAGCTGTGGAATCGCTTAGTTTTGGTGCGTGAGATGCAGGTATTGTTATCAACTATCTCAATTGGATGATCATTTTTTATCAAAAGGGCGAATACAATTATGATGCTGTCCTACATAACATTATACAGGGTGTCCCAGAAGTCGACGTCAAGCCGAAACCGGGTGATAGGCAAAGTCATAACAGCTATCAGAAAAATATTTAAAAAAATTTATGTATGTGTTTTGAAAATTATAGGTCTTTGAAAAAGATATAGAAATTTCACACCCTACTGCAGTCTGTCAACTCCTGTTACTACAAATATTAACTTTTTTTGGATTTTATTTTTACAATGTAATGATGAATAATGCATCTTCAAACTGGTGTCTCAACCTTACTGCCAACTTTTCTCGTTCAGGAAACATTGCCACTTATTTCCCAACCAAGTATTCCAAAGTAAAACTTTGCTCAACTTTAACTGGCTGTACTATAAAAAAATGTACTACGAGAAATTGGCAAGTAACCGTAAAAGTTTGCGCATTTAATAACGATTCCAAAATGGTATAACACTTAGAAGATTACTCGTTAACTTATGCACAATTTTTATTTGAAAAAAACTGATGAAAATTTTTCAAAATTTTCTAATTAAACGGCGATTATGAAAACGCACAAGGACCCTTAAGGATAACTGTTTGCACAACAGTGGGCGTCAAAATGCTGCTGATGATGATTTACCTTTACAGCAAATGTTCAAACTGTTTTCCTTCAGCCGCAATACACGCTCGACATCTTCTTAAAAAAGATCGGGTTATTAAACGAGCGAATCCACGGTTATTAACAAACTCAGCTGCTTCCAATAGTCTTTGCCGTAGCTCAGCTACATTTTGAATCGGCTTGAAATACACTTTGTCTTTTACAGTTCCCCAGTCAAAAAATCTAAAGGATTCAAATCAGGTGATCGGGCTGGCCACGGTATTGTACCAGACCGCCTTATCCATCTGCCTGGAAAGTTTTGATCGAGATACTCTTTCACTGAGAGTGCATAGTGCGCTGGGCAGCCATCATGCTGAAACCACATGGCCCTGTAAATACTCAGTGGCACGTCCACCAATAAATTTTTTACATGATTTTTCAAAAAATCCAAATAAACTTCAGCAGTCAAAGTCTCTGGGAACTCAAACGGACGATTATTTTACCATTTAAAATTCCTGTCCAATGGTTTATCTTGAAGCGATATTGAGATTTATCTTCTCTCATCAAATGTGGGTTTGCTACGTGCCACTCGTGTAAGTTATGCAGGTTCATGTACCCATCTTTCTTAAATATGGTCTCATCCGACCATAAAATTTTTTCAAAGAACTGTGGATCTTTCCTGTGTCTTTCTAACATTGTGCGACAAAAAGCAACTCGGGGCTCATAATCCCGGGGCAGGAGAGGTTGAACATGCTGTATGTGATATGGGTCCCTTTCGTAGGTGGTAGATGGTCTCTGACTGTCGAACGCGGAGGTACCACCCGGCGGATCTCGTAGGCGGAGCCAGAATTTTTCATTTTTCAAAGAACTGTGGATCTTTCCTGTGTCTTTCTAACATTGTGCGACAAAAAGCAACTCGGGGCTCATAATCCCGGGGCAGGAGAGGTTGAACACGCTGTATGTGATATGGGTCCCTTTCGTAGGTGGTAGATGGTCTCTGACTGTCGAACGCGGAGGTACCACCCGGCGGATCTCGTAGGCGGAGCCAGAATGTGTGCATGTTGCATGCACACGTGTTCCCTCGCCAGAGTCCGTGTGGCGTTCCCCCTTTCCCATGGGTGCTTAGGCCTTAGGCCTTCGTGGTAGTTCAAGTATAAAAAAAAATTCGACGCATGAGTCGGGTGCCTTGGCACACTAAGGTGCACCAGTTATCTCCATGTAATGATTCATTAACTTAAGCGTCAAATAAGGTTCATATTAGGTCTACGTATCGAGGTATTCGTGATTGTCAACTCCCTATGGTCACACTACTGCTACCTTAAAAAAAAATGTATCTCGTCATCTAGAGTATTGCCTATAAAGGATTAACATTAGGTTAATGTAGTGGCATATATAAGGGAGGTGCTCCCTCTCCTTTCCGAACAAACTAGTGACCAAATTCCTAGGTGACTTTTCGTCGAAATCACGGACGAAGGTAATTCGCATATTTTATGTTTGCGAATTCAATCGTGAAAAAGTGTTTGTAGGGATCGAAATAAAGGGTGATTTTAAAACTAAGTCCAAAAAATTACCCAGAAACCATGTGTCGTATTTATGTTGTTCGCCTGTTTGGATCTAAATTGGCCGGAAAATCATTTAGCTAACGCGTGTTGAATTACAATCTGAAAAAGGAACGTAACTTTACCTCATAAAAACAGGGAAATAAACTTTTATTTTTCTACCGAGATACACGGAATTTTGTTTCGACTTTCCTCCAATATTTTTCAAGTCACACCACTTAAAAAAGGATGTAATCATACTAACAAAATATACTACTCATATTTAGGTTATTTATCTTAATTTCTGCAAATTCCATTTCCCCTGCACATTCTTCGCCCTATTCTATTTCGATTTTAGGTTTGCATATAACACTAGCATATCCCCGTAGGCTAAGGGGCGAGGGGGACAGGTTCGGATCCTCATAAACCCTGACTATCTACCTGTGGTTGTGACTACCAACCAACCCTCCCCTCCTATCCACCAAGAAACCTATGGCCTTTACCCGAAGTAAAGTTCTAAATACGCCAATGGGTCAATGCGCTTTCTAAATTAAGCTGGTTTTAGACATTATTCGAGTTTTTTACTAGAAAATTGTCTGTAGTTTTCACGACTCAACAGCGACGTAAGGAATTCGGATTTGAAAATATAACATCACTGTTTCTAACGATGATTATTTATTAAAAGTACATAATTACGATATATTGGAATAACAATCAGTTGAGCACGCCAATGCTACTATACCAAATCCGCTCAATATTCCAGGAAAAAGAATTTAAGCTCCTTGTTGCTTAAACAGTATCGGAACGTAGTCATCACATTCCGCTGAAAAACTTAGCAGCTACTGGTTTTCCCAGTACCTGATAATTTTTTATTAGAAAAGTTTCCACGATTGACCCCAGATCTGAAATAGAAAAGCAAATCGAGTTTCACTTGCAGTCCTAGATATTGTCGCCAGAAGTGTGGCCAACAACTAGGTAAGACTATTACAATAATAGTATGCAACCTTGAAACAAAACATATAGTATAAGAAAGAGGATTGTCGACTAACTGTTACAGGCAGAGTTGTCAGGTACAGATGATCCGTTTCAGGTAGATGTGAGCGAAATGTTTCGGTAGATTTCGGTAGAGATAAAACCAAAAAGCAAAAAATTCCTGGTGATTGAAAATTGAAGAGGTGAAGATTGACTAGTTTGCTTGAGCTCCACTCGGTTTTGAAAATTGAAAAGCGGAAGGGAGTAGTATCAAATGCTGAAATACTGCTATTTGAAAAATTGAAGAGCATAGGGTTATCCCGGTAACAGAAAATTCCAGAGGGAAGCATCAAAATTCTGAAATGAAGAACTCAGGCTTTCATCAAATCGAAAAGCATGGGGAGCGGGGCATCGCCAAATTGCTCTATTCTTGTATTTTGTCGAGTTATATCATAAATATACCATTAAACAATTTGAGAAGTTTTTTTGGCAGATTTCGCATTAAAATCGGTAATTGGATAGAATACAAACCGAAAGAACCGAAGAACAGCGGTGGATTGAAATTGGTTGGACTAGGTGCAGAGTTACTGAAAAGGTCTTTCTAGCCAGATGTTAGAAGTACCGGCTTTTTAGGCAAGCCTCATAACAGTGCAAGGCAAAAGAGTGTCTGAGGCAGAGGTGCCTCAAATGTGGGACGACAGGCAGATTGCGAAGGATTGTCCAATGAGGTGAAGTGCTACTTGTGCAGTGAAAGGGGTGAAGTCCTACTTGTGCTGTGAAATGGGACATCGCACAGCCCATGCAAAATACATGGAAGTAGTGAAACATATCTGTTTCACTATTAAACAACAAAGAACTAACACAGCTGTGATAAAACAGGCGACGCTTAGAACAACAAGGAAAGCTGATCAGTCTGGTTCGTCTCAACAGTAAGGATGAGGAATTCGGGGCTATAAAAAGCAGAATGGACAGGAGAACAGACAAAATCAACACTCTCACAACAACCTAATGTGAATAATACAAGCGAATGTAAAGAGGTGTAGAGCGGCACACGATTTGCTCGACTAGTTTGCAAAGGAAAATTCAATAAGACGTTTCTCTGATATCACCATAACAAAAAGTAGTCCACGCAAATGAGATACAGATGGGGATGCAGCTCTCAGCATATACACATAACCAAACTGCAGAAACATTTATTTAAATAAGTGGATGCGCACAATATCAGAGATAATGGGAATAAAAATGGAAAAGGTAGACTTGCGGACTGTATACAGGGTGTCCCAAATCTCAACGATAACCTGGTACCGGGCGAGGCCAAGGTATACTAGTTCTGGAAAAAATAAGAAAAAAATTCAATTTCACTTGATTAAGAGATAATCGAGATTTTTACAAAAAAGTTGAAAATCGACACCCTTGATCGCATTTTTAAGTACTGTGATCACAGATTTCACAATTTTGAAGTGATTTTTTTAATAACGTAATATAAAATAACGGTGCTATTAATCGCAACCACAAATCAACGTAATAAACATTGTTAATTTAGTAAAATAAATTAAGTTTCATTGAGTCATGGTTTACAAAAATATTGTCAGTTAACTTTACACTTCATTTTGGATATCACAGTACTTAAAAATGCGATCAAGGTTGTCGGTTTTCAACTTTTTTCAAAAATCTCTGTTATCGCTTAACTAAGTGACATGCAATTTTTTTCTTATTTTTACCAGAACTAGTATACCTTGGTACCTCGCCCGGTACCCGGTTATCGTTGAGTTTCACCAAGCATACCATCCAGATCGGAATGGTTTTGCATCTCTCATGGATCAAAGTATAAAGCAGTACTTGATAGGAGATTTCAACTCGAAATTGGCAACCTGGAGATCTAGTTGCATCGAGCAGGTGAATCATAACTGAAAAAGTATCTCCAGTGAAAAAGATTGCTCCAGTGAGATGGACTACTACTCGATGGCGGAAAAGTATATCACATGGACAGTATGGCCTGCTCGAAATAAAAGGAGGAAGAGAAACAGGCGACTCTTGTTAACATAGAGGACATGCACCAAAGTATATGACTAAAATTGAAAAAACTGTGTTATCAGTAGATTGTTTTACAAGCAGATATTTATATAAAAGCTCCAAACATGTTATTAGTTATTACCTGTGCCAGCTCTTCTATGTCATTGATAGATTTAAGTTCCATATTGTCAAAGGGGCTGTAAGTGTCATTTTCAAAGTCTGATATATTGATATTTTTGTCTTTCACCTCCATTGTTACCTGATTCTTGGTGCAACTTAGAGGTATAGGAGTGAGAATGTTAGAGTGATGGTTCATTGATTGATAGACAGCATTATCACTAGATGATTCAATGTTCTTGGTATTAATTGTACTATTGCCAGTCTTTTGTTCTATCTGCTGAAGGCATTCTTTGATTTCATCTCTAGCTTTCTCTAATTTTATTTTCCTTTCTTGCAGCATTTGGTGTCTGGAACCTCTCCATGCCTTTATTTGATCTGAAATTAAAAGATAATGGGTACTACTTTTTTCAAAACGCAAAGCAATTAGTAAATTATTGGGCCAAGTAACTCCCACCGCTTGTATTTTTTAACTGCATTTTTTTGGAGAACATTTTGTCAACAAAAATTAGATTTTTAAGTTTATGTAGGCATTGAGAAGATCAAGAAAGATACTACAAAACATATAAAAAAGTATCCCTATTTCCAACAAGAATGTTGCAGTCTATCTATCCCAAAACCAGTCAAAATTTGAAGAAACAAAGTTTACCTTTTAAAGTTACTACCTTGAACAATATAGTGATGCAATCAGAACTTTGCTTACACTAGCTTTACCACCACCAAACTTTGAAGTTTTTGGTGATCATTCAACACTACCTTTTAAATAACATGTGGTTAGGATCAACTTCTCAGCTTCTTTTGAAAAGGTCCTCGAAACGATGTTGAAGTGACTTCCAAATGCCCTCCTAGTGACAAACTAACCTCAGATTTGAGATTGGTGCCCAAAAAAACCCTATTGTTCTAAAAACCGTATGAATACAGTAGAAATTGTACTTTTTGCCAGCTTTGTCACTGTGCTATGTCAGCAAAGGTGAAAATGATCTGTCATTAAATAAAATTCTATGAAATGATTAATCCACAAATGGTTCCTGATTTAAGGTGTTCAATATTTCATGTCATATCTGAGAAAGCAAGTACATGTATACGGTCTGCAATAAATAAGTCTGCCCATTTCTACCAGTAACAAATATGCATTTTCATTGTGGCATTAAATAAATTTTTCCTTTCTTAGGGGAGTTAAGCTCCACTGTAGTGGCATAAATGTCAGTCAAAAGTAACCCATACAGATGTGGTTTCATTGGCGAGAGAATCCTGGGGTTCTTTCTGTAGCTTGCTGCCTAAGACCCTTGAAAGCGACATGTTTAGGAATGAGATATGACATTGCCTTTTATCAAAGTGAGAGTGCAGCCTGCTGAACTTTTCCTATTGTGACACTGATATGGCAGGTGTGTAATATCATCATCATCACTCACAGAGGCCTACATCTTCAAAGTGAGATACTTACCTAAAACGCTGTTTTCTAATCCAAACTCATAGTACAAATTACTATCTTGAGTCTGTTTATTCAAGACGAGTCTTTGAGCATAGGTCATTGGCAAATTGATACGCAATGGAGGTTTGTATTTTTCTGAGATTTTCACTTTAATACTGTCTGTATAGCAGTCTAGCCCTTGCTTCCATGACATCACGAAATATCCTATAATTGTTATTTTTTCCACTCCACTAGGCAGTAGACATAAAAAATATATTGTTGCGTACTAATCAATAAAAGAGACCGTCTATTCAAATAAATTTTTTTCTGGAAACTGTGAATTTTGCTTTCACAATTTCACATGTGTCATCAAGTCAATAATGTTTATGTCACGTGTTACGTGTTAGCAATTTTCGCAGTGACAGATTGATGTGCAGTTGGCCAATCAACGAAAGCATGACTAGTCACCTGATCTTTGAGCCGCGCACTGTTTTGTTATGTGCAGCCAGTGTTGCCAGATCCAATAGATTTTCATTGGAGATTCGTCTTTATGCTACCTGGTTATTTCTTTACCGTAGCGGACATCTCAACTTTGTGATCCCAATGGTGAGAGTTCAATTTGCAACACCCGCTATATTTTATTGTTCTCGTTCAGCTGCTACGTAGTTCATACTGCGTTATGCAAGTTAAACTGCGGCTTCCGCGGCTTTTTTAAAGAATTTGTTTCCAAAAGCGATGCAGGCGGACTTCTGAAAGAAGGTATTCATGTTGTGTACGTGAAACACGGAGGTAATAAACATAAGTGACAGACTCCCCTCTCACAATAGATCGAGAAAACAGTATACAATACCGTGCGAATCTTTTACGGTTGAGGTCGGCCATGTTTCAATGTGTACGAGAGAGAGAGAGAGAGAGAAATGTCCAAAAATGTGTTAGAAAGAGTGCGCGGTGCGTGCCACAACGACAGCCACGAATGTCAGGAAGCCCTCATTCCAACTTTGTCTAACATATGTATACAATACCGTGCGAATCTTTTACGGTTGAGGTCGGCCATGTTTCAATGTGTACGGGAGAGAGAAAGAGAAATGTGCAAAAATGTGTTAGAAAGAGTGCGCGGTGCGCGCCACGACAGCCACGAATGTCAGGAAGCCCTCATTCTAACTTTGTCTAACATATGTGTTGCACGCTTCTCTATCGTACACATTGAAATCAAGCAAACTTCAACTGTAGATAATTCGCACGGTATAAGAATGCCGACATTCGACTTTTACCACAACCTTCAACCAACAGCCAAAAATGTTTCGATCATCGGCAAGGCTAAACTATGTGTGAAAGTAAGTGTACCTGCCCCAAAACTTTTTGAAAAGCGAAGGGGTTGAGGGTGGGGGACTCTAAAAATCCTTAGAATTGTACACAAGATCATGTTAAATATGCAAAATTTTTGGTCCAACTAGATTCCCAGGGGGGCACGGACCCCGCTTCCCCCTCCCTTCCTGCCAGCGCCAATGACCATAGCCGAATTTTCATCTAATAAAAAATGTGGGTTGTGTTATAGCAAGAAAGTGGTTCACTAGGGTAGATCTATTAAAATTAGATAAACAGTGATAATTCATCCCCAACGGAAATGGTAAGAGATACAAAGTTAGCCACACTGGAGCAAAACATTTTACAAACCTCACAAACATCAGTGATTATAGTATTCAATAGTGGTGTTGAAAAGTAAGTATTCGTTACTCGAGTACTCGTTACTCATAGATACCCGAAGTAACAAGTACCAATCCGAGCAGGAAGGAAATGATTACTTTGATTACTCTGTTTTCCGTATCCGCTGATCATTGAGTGTCAACACTTGTTTCACTATAGAAACTCCATATTTTCGCTTTTATTGTTGTGATCTTGGCAACCTGAAAATAAATAAGGAGTCGATTGGATTGGAGCAAAGTTTGGCAGTATTATGAGGCAGAAAAGCTACAACAAGGTAATAGCACCTGTTCAGGAAAACCACAATAAAAAAATTATGTCAATTTGACTCGTATACACTTGTACAGTTTTGCAAAAAAAAAATATAATTCAGTATGACCACCAATAGTATGTGTAGACTTAGCTCCACGTTGAATTTTTCATAGTGGTATATGCTTAATTGAAATGCTTCGAACAGTTTTACTCGCCATTCCGAATTTTCCTTAAGGCTTTACAGATCTTTCTGACTAGAAGACATGCTTTTCAAGCATTTCTAGAAAATGCAAAGTGTTTTCAGTTTGTAGGCTCACATGAGTCATATGACACTCTATTCTGTAATAAGCCCATCTCGATAAGCATAAAGTTTGAAGATATGATGTTTGCATTAAACACAGCAGATTTGAATAAACTACGCTTAAAACATTTTGCAAATTTAAGGTTGTCTTTTTGCTTACAAGATTCGGTTCCATTGAACTTCAAATTCGACATTAATTACACGACGCACGTTGCCAAATCGTTATACTCATACTACTCATAATAATCAAAGTAACGAATACAATAAATGATTATTTTGTAGAAAAGTAACGATTAGCAACGAGTACACGTACAATGTATAATAGAGATTTTTTCCCCTTCCTCCCGAAGTTTTGACAGTTTCAAGTTACACGGGGAATGTTAAACAGTGCTGAAAACAGTGTCAGAATGTTATCAATAAACTGCTTCTACTAATATATATATAAATATAACTTGAGACGTGGTCATTGTCGTCTAGACCAGTTAGGTGAGAAATTGAAGCTTCCGCCTTTTGTTGGGTACTTCGACAAAATTTAAGCATGGAGGACTCTTTATACTTTTTTTATTCTCTCTAGCTTTCAATGGTCTTTGCCATCATCATCAGGAGAGTAGTATGTGAGGATGTTGTTAATTGTTGTTTACGTTAAGGATGAGGGAAACACCCAGTAATATGGTGAAAGCTGGATAAATGGTACAATGGTCAAAATTATATAAAATACACACAGCTGTATGACAAGAACAAGTTAAAAACAGATTCAAAAATTTTTTAGAAATTGAAAGTTAAACATTACATCGTGAAACCACTTGCCCGCCATTTCGTGCAATCATCAAGTGGCTTCACGATGTAATGTTTAAGTTTCAATTTCAAAAAAATTTTTTATCTGTTTTTAACTTGTTCTTGTCATACAGTTGTGTGTATTTTATATAATTTTGATCATTGTACCATTTATCCAGCTTTCACCATATTACTGGGTGTTTCCCTCATCCTTAACGTAAACAACAATTAGCAACATCCTCACATACTACTCTCCTGATGATGATGGCAAAGACCATTGAAAGCTAGAGAGAATAAAAAAAGTATAAAGAGTCCTCCTTGCTTAAATTTTGTCGAAGTACCCAACAAAAGGCGGAAGCTTAAATCATCAAATATCGTAATAGGAAACAACGTGCGTTGATTATTATCTTACGTATTTTTAGCGGAAGGTAAGTAAATTTAAATTTAAAGTGATAACATTCTGACCCCATGCTCAGCACTGTTTAACATTCCGGTAGTGATTTCGGCACCCGGCTTGTTATTGGTTGAATAAATTGAAATTGACCAATAAAATTAAGGCTGGTGCCGAATCCTATACCATAGTGTTAAAATGCCACCGGGAGTGGTTAGATGGCGCATGTTACGCACAATGTTTGCTGTAAGCTCTATAAAGTTAGCTGCCTTGTTTGAATCTGAAATAAAAAGACCGATCGTTTTTTGTGCAATGTACACATATATCAATAAAATCAATCATTTGATATGACAAGTGCGGTTCATATATCTTCAATGACCTTCTCCCTCGCCATTTAAAATCAGGTGGACGTGTTCCTCCATTTATGATGTAATAATTTAACTCAATTTTCAGCACTGCGAAGACAAATTTTCAATTGAGATGCCTGTTTTTTGAATGACATTGATATGAAACCGGTCACCCGCTAGTACCTCACAGACGTTAGGCGGGTACCCGTACCACGTGATTTTTTGACATTCGGACGACGTCACATCCGTCTTCCCCAATTCCCGTTCTTCCCGAAAATTTGAGTATCAGTTCCCGGTAGTGCACTGTGCTACACCGTGGACTCGCCAAAAAATCCTTAATAATTGCCTTTACAACAGCGATGTTGCCAAACGGGATCGCAGCGATTTCCCAGAAATAATGAAAATCCATAAAAAATGGCGTCAAGTAGATTGACTCTGCACTTCCTACGCAACGCCGTCATCAGTTCATAAAGGATTGAGGTCAGCAGAAGTTGAACCCGTTGAAAAAAATTTAGTTACGAACATGAACAATAAGGAAATTAAACAGGTTAAGTCAGCCAAACATGTCCATACAAGCACCGCCGCAGTGCAAGCAGAACAATCAATCAGACCATTTCGCTGGGCGATGAGCCCAGATAGCAGAAGACACGAATCGAAAACATTCCTCTATTATTCCAAGTTTTAGAGACACCCGACCGATTTTTAAAATCTACAAAGACTATTAGCATAGTAGTGACCTTGTGTAAAAATTTCATCCAAATCAGAGCAGTACTTTCCAAGTTATAGACGGGCCAAGGATTTGCGGACAGACAGACAGACTGACCGACGGAAATGTGGGTCATGTTTTTTGTGAGGAATATGTCATATAAAATCAGAAAACATTCGATATTTTTCGCGATTACTCGTCCAATGGCGTAGAAAGTCCAAGAATTGTTTATTCTTGAACATGGCACCCCGTATTACGTAACTAAAAAAGTGACATATCGATTTTTTATGAGATTATGTAGATTTTTTGACATTATGTAGGCTTTCCTACAAAATGTCACTTTTAAACTAGCTGACATTCACTTGAATTCACGACCTTGAAAACGACATTTGCGTACAATAAAGCAGAAAATCTCCCAGGAACTCCTTACCTGGATACCAGACAACAAATTAAAATTGCTGAGAGATTGTTTCCTATGTGCTTACTCATCAAATGGGAACTTGAAGAGACGTACCAGTTTCCACCATGAGTGAGCTGCAAAGCGTATAAGGCAGAAGGATCTCGACGAGATACCAAACGAGACCGGAAAGAGCTGGTTAAAGAAATACCTAAAATCGTGCAATCTGTCATCAATAGACTGCTTGAGAACAGTAGTGTTTCCGAAAAGGTAAAATGAGGCTGGTTTGGTGCTTATCCCGAAACCTCTGACACCCAGCGATAGGAAACTCAAATATAGATCTCTGTGAATGCTGGCTGCACTGGGAAAGCTACTAGAACGGCTATTAGAAGGTAGGCTAAGAAAATACGTCGAAGAAAAGAACGGGCTATTTCCCTGACAATAGGACTTAGGAGAGAAAGTCTACCATAGATGCACTTGGCGCAGTGGTACAGCTGGTAGAAGCAGCGGATAGCGGAAGCTAGGGTATCGAGAAGCTTTAGGCTTTGGTTGCCTTTGATGTTAAGAATGCCTTCAACGCGGCACAATGGCAGATTGAACATGATAAAGAGCTATTCTTCGATGTGGTTCTTCGGTTGCAGATATCGCAATTTGCCTCTTATACTAAAGCACGAGAATTACCTTATGGATCTACTGAGAAGACGGAAGTGGTTATACCTTCTAGAACAGAGAAGCTAACTTCATTAGCTGTTAAGATTTGTCGCCGAAGTTGGTATGCAACCATGCTATTAGGTATCTGTGTGTGTGTGTGTGTGGCTCGACAAGGATCTAAAAATGACTGAATATATAAAGCGCACCGAAAGGTAAATATAGTCGTTGCATATATGATAAGGCTAATGCAATTTGACGAGGTTTCAGTAGTGAGAGGCGCAGAATTATGGTAGAAGCGGCAAACTTGATTATGCTAGGTATACAGTACGCCTGTTTTAAA